ACGGACCTTGACTGGAACACATGAATATTCTGCACAAACTCGAGGCTAACCTTGTGCAAATGAGTCTGTAATCAAGAAACAGCAGTAATTTGGAATTCAAAAGGGGTCTATTGCTGTTTTGATAAGGGAAAGATGATTAAATATATGGGTTAGMCATTCATTGATTTAGATCAGCTCAGAGGGAGGTTATTTCAGGTTATAATGAACCTTAAGGTGTTCATTTTTAAGAGATTATTATCCGTTTCAAAAGGAGTATAATATCCTCAATGGTATTGATCAGCATGACATTATCCTTAGGTTTGCAGGATAGTTGACTCCAGTGCTATTATCTCTCAAGTACAAAGTCCTTAATGATCAAATCACATGTAGATCTTACCCTGTCATTAATACATGCTGTTTTATTCTTTAGGATTAACAACTGTGTTGGAGAAGATAATCAAAAATTTTTTATACTATTCACAGTAAGTTTAGACTTTTCTTTCACTTTAATGTCTTTTTTTTCCCCCATCTTTTCATTTTTTTCTATTGCTTAAATCGTGTGATCGAACCTTGAACACTTCAACTTTTGTCCAAGTTATTATTTCTTGAATTTTCTACTGTTTCAAACCGTCTAAAATAAGCATTGTGTTCAAATACACCAAGTGATCAAAATAAATCTTATTTCCAATCGATTGGCTCAAGGAATGATTTACATTATACATTTTTTTTGTGTGTCAAAAAACTCAAAATTTTCACAGTTCCAAGTAGTTCCTTAAATTATATGCATCATATATATATAAAGGAAGTATTTTAGGCCTTTCTTTCTTATGTCTAACATTTATGGGGTAAGACTAACAGTACAATGACCCCTCAGTGTTCTGCAGTAGTATTGGAATGAATTTTCCAAGGGGTGGGGAGGGTCTAAAGAGGGTATATTGTGTAGTTCCAGAAAATATCCATACCTCCCCCATGGAGGGGGATTGGAATTTCCAAGGGGTGGGGAGGGTCTGAGGAGGGTATATTGTGTAGTTCCAGAAAATATCCATACCTCACCCATGGAGGGGAATTGGAATCTCCAAGGGGTGGGGAGGGTCTGAGGAGGGTATATTGTGTAGTACTAAAAAATATCCAAACCTTGCCCATGGGTGGAGAAGGTTTGAAGAGAGTGTGTTCAAGTAATTTCTTTCTAATATTTTCTGTCTAGTAGAAGTGAGAGTTTTGACTTTAGTATCAAATTGATGGCTGGTCTTCTTAATTGCAGTTATACATTTTTACAATTTCAATATATGCACTGATGCTGGCAGTAAGACAAGTGCTTTTGTGTTCAGATAAGGATTGGATAGGTAAGAGCCATACAAGTATGAGT